GGAAAGAGGGAAGGAAAGAGAGAGGGGAAAGGAAAGGGGGTCCACGCCCCCTTCCCCTTGTCCAATTCGGACAGCCCATGGCTGGGGGGCACCCCTTGTGGGCTCCCCTCTCTCTCCCCTATGGCCCATGTTGGCCCATTACTTCCCCGGGGGGTTTCCGGTAACCTCCCGGTACTCCGAAAAACATCTGAAACCTCCCGGAACCATTTCGGTGTCCGAATGTAACCTTCCAGTATATCAATCTTCACCTCTCGACCATTTCGAGACTCCTCGTCATGTCCGTGATCTCATCCGGGACTCCGAACAACCTTCGGTCACCAAAACAATAACTCATATAATACCAATCGTCATTGAATGTTAAGTGTGCGGACCCTGCGGGTTCGAGAACTATGTAGACATGACCGAGACACCTCTCCGGTCAATAACCAATAGCGGAACCTGGATGCTCATATTGGTTCACACATATTCTACGAAGATCTTTATCGGTCGAACCGTAATGTCAATATAGTTATTCCCTTTGTCATCGGTATGTTACTTGCCCGAGGTTTGATCGTCAGTATCTTCATACCTAGTTCAATCTCGTTACCGGCAAGTCTCTTTACTCATTCTGTAGTGCATCATCCCACAACTAACTCATTAGTCACATTGCTTGCAAGGCTTCATATGATGTGCGTTACCGAGAGGGCCCAGAGATACCTCTCCGATACTCGGAGTGACAAATCCTAATCTCGATCTATGCCAACCCAACAAACACCTTCAGAGATACCTGTAGAGCATCTTTATAATCACCCAGTTACGTTGTGACGTTTGATAGCACACAAGGCATTCCTCCGCTGTCCGGGAGTGCATAATCTCATAGTCGGAGGAATATATATTTGACACGAAGAAAGCAGTAGCAATAAAACTGAACGGTCATTATGCGAAGCTAAAGGATGGGTTTTGTCCATCACATCATTCCACTAATGATGTGATCCCGTTATCAAATGACAACTCATGTCCATGGCTAGGAAACTTAACCATCTTTGATCAACGAGCTAGTCTAGTAGAGGCATACTAGGGACACGTTGTTTTGTCTATGTATTCACACATGTACTAAGTTGCCGGTTAATACAATTCTAGAATGAATAATAAACATTTATCATGAATAAGGAAATATAAAATAATAACTTTATTATTGCCTCTAGGGCATATTTCCTTCATTTCCCTCTTCAGGGCGTTGTCTTCAAGACCATGGTCTCGTTCGTGCTTTCCTAAAGTTGCGCGTGCATGACATCATGGTCGGCTTGTGCTTGGCCGACTATGTTAGAGGTTAAGGTGGTGTTGTTATTCGTGTGACCACTATGGTGGTGACAAGAGGAGTAGGGGCATGACATATCCTTCATCATTGATAGTTCGACGTGTCCTTGAGCGTGAAGTTGGAGTTGTAGCGGCAGCGGGCGATGCGATAATAATGATGCCATGCGATGGGGCAAGTCAGGATATGTTTGTGCAAGGCACGCTTCTTTGTCCCACGATACTCTTCACATTAGTCGGAGTTGCCTAGTCCACGATGTCTATGGTTGATTGTTTGACATAGGCTAACAGGTCTCTCATGCATTGTATGCGGTGCGGATTCTTGGTTGGTCGTCTCGATGAAGTTGGAAATGGCTTGCTCGCGAAGAAGTGATGACAATGAAATCTGTTGTCAGCTGATGGTGTCCTGGACTAGGGGTACTCACCATGTCGTCTCCCGGCTAGGAGGGCCGGGCCGATGGACCCCGTGGCGGTTAATTACCGGACCTCTTTAGATGGATATGACATATACAAGGAAGATTCCACAAGACTTGAAGCGCAAGAAGAGGACTCTTATAAATTCTAGGCCTTCGGTACATTATATAAACCGAGGCCAGACTAGTCGATAGATGATTAGAATCTTACACAACAATCTCATGTTAGATACATGTACTCTGTAGTTTGTACTACACCCCATATCAATACAATCAAAATTAGAACCTAGGATATTATCTCTGTGTAAAATCTGTGTGTCCATGTTTTTTCGACCGGTTCAAAAAATTTGACCGGTTTCCCTATTACCATCGTTTCAATATGACTAGACGAGGAGCCCTACGTCAAGATGTGCCCGAATCGACTCGAGCAATAGCTTCGACAATGTTCCTCTCTTAGGCGGTGTGCGCAGGTTTGTGTGGGTAACAATTTCGACCGGATGCCCTGTCTCAGAGGCATGATGTGCCATTGTCTGGTTTTTCATTGGTTGATTGAAACAATTTTCTTCTTTTAATTAAAATAATAGATTAAGCCTGGAACATCTTTTTTTAATAGGAGTAGCGAGGCTGTACAAGTTCCTAAATCCAGATTTGCCATAAAATTCCACGATTCTATATAAGTTTTTTCTGATGTTCACATACACGCATACACTTATCCATAGAAATGCATGCACGCACACCCTACATCTATGAACACATCCGAGATACCGAGCTGATATCACATCTTGAGACTGACGAAGTCATCACGGGCGTCCACAGAAACGTTTTCTTCCACTGAACGAACATCATCGAAGAGCCTGAAATAAATCTAGAAAACAGAAAGCACCAACATCAATTCTAGGGCTCGAACCCTAACGAAATGATTCCACACTACATGAAACCTAACCATCTCAGTTACACCAAGTTCGGTGTATCCGAGCTAGCTTCGGCGGAGGGAAGGTGCTCCATTTCTGTAGACTCCTTCCGCACGTCGACGTGCAAGAGCTAAGAAACCCGCCACAAAGGCATGAGCGAAATGAATTCTGATGGATGCATTCGGATGGAACAGCCAGGCACGAGCTGACATGGTAGGACGGGGTAGTGTGTGATTGTTTTTGCCTGCGGATGTGGAGTATTACGACCCACACGCCGCAGCTAATAGATGCACGAAAAGAATTATCACTTGTCAATTGTCATCATCCGGATGACGGCACACCCCGGCAAGTGAAAAGTGACCAGCGGCTCATCGCCTCATCGTGACGGTGAAATAATGGAAGAAGGCGGTATATTTGCTCCACGTAGTGCCAAAACTAGACAACGAGTTTACCAGATAAAATTCCAAGTTCCTTTTCTATATGTGATTTTTTTTCCAAGTTCCTGAGATATGGGTTACCGCTTACGAGCGTAGCACCGGAATGTTTTACCCAAGTAACATTAAGCAAGCACGGAGGTGGGTTCTAAGTAAAAGTCATGGAAGAGCAGTGCATGTCCTTGTGAAAATGTGTGTATGCAAGCTGAGAGATGGTGGCTGCTAATCAATGGGCACCTGCAGTCCATTCAAACCTGATCGGATCGTTACGGTCGCATTGCACTTGCACACAGATAAGCCAGTTGTGGAACTTGAAAGCTCGGTGCAGCGCCGTGCCTTGTAGGCATGTACACGTCAAATAGGATGGGCACGCCGCTGGCCACGGAGCCATGCGATGCGACGACAATGACACGATACAGCCTACATGACTCGCGGACACATATCCCCTCGGCCGGGGATACCGGAGCCGGCTCAACTGGCGATCAAGGACGGACCACGGCGGGGACGTGGACGCTCGCTCGTGACGCACGCACGCACATGAGGATGAGAGTACCCCGCCGGAACACGAAAAGCGAAAACGACGGCGACGAAACTCGTGGCCTATTCCGTTGCGTGGCGAACGATTCCCCGCCCTCGAGCCGAGGAAGGAACCTCTTTTTGTCGACGTTAAAAAAAGCGCCGGCCCCTCCGTGCCGTCCCAGGCGGTCCTTTCGTGTCCGTCCGTCCGGCCAACGCGCGCCCCCGAGACGAGGAGGGAAGAAAAATCTCCGCCGCCCCTATCCGTGTCGGCAAGCCCCAACCATCGGCGCCGGCCCTGGCCTAATAAAGTCGGCCGGCCGGATATAGCCAGCCTCCCCCTGCACGCACGCGCCACGCCAACTTCCTCAGCGTCCGGCCCCTATAGCTTCTTCTTCCTCGCCACCTCAAGCTCAAGGCCTCCGCCTCGGTCCGGTGCGCGGTGGCCACAGGCGTCCCTCCTCGACAGCAACCCTACCCGCGTCTCGTCTCCGGCTCTCGCGTGCGTGCTCGGTTGGGCTGCCAGGTTTCCTTCAATCCTTTTGCAGATTGTTGCTCAAGTTTCGGGCTTCGTCTCGACTGTGCTCCCCGATTATTCGGCTTTTCCGATGGATTTTCGCGGGCTAGGACCTCGATTTCTGCAACCTTTTATAAGCCTGGATTAGCGAGCTTGACGACTTTATTGCTTTGCTGATCAAAAGTCAGAGGAAATCGAGACTTTGATCCCTAGAAGCCTCCGCAATGTTTCCCTCGCCTTATTTTAAGGGTGTAGTTTGCTGTCTAATTGTGATTGGCAAGTAGTAAATCCAAGCCGGAAAGGTGCCATGTGCCCATGTTGGTAGAGTTCTATAAGTACGCACTTCTCCATCTGTGGATTCTTGATACATTCTTTCCAGCTTCTCCATCTCGTAGATTTCCCTGCCATGCGACGAAAACAGCATTGATCCACAGTATCCGTGGTCGGGCTGTACCTTTGTTCCGGATCCCCATTCAGGTCCTCATCTGTTATTTCTTTTCCAATTATACATAGGTACATAATTAGCCTCACATTCTCAAGTTTATTCTTGCCCATCTGACTGTTCATTGCCCCTAATTGGCTATTTCAGTTCGACAAGTGTAAAGAACTCGGTCTGCTTAAACAATTTTTGTATAAATTATTGCTGTTTAACCCACCTTGGTTCCGTCCTGCCTACCTGTTTCAATCTTTGCTGTTATGTGCGCTTTGGATAATTCTGTATTGGTAGCAGTGTCCTTGCAAAATTTTCTTGATTGCCATGCCATCTCTGAATGCAGCTGTTATCACCTATCTTAGTTTTCAGGGAGCGGAGGTCGAAAAGTTAGCTATATTATGCCATTTTTATGTAGGATTGCATTTTATTGATTGGATTGCCTGTAACTGCAGGGGCACATTGATACTTGAAGTAATATTGAAAATGGTTAGTGCGAGGTCAGTGGACAGGCAGTTGGATACATGCTTCAGCAACCTCATGGTGTCTAGCGGCGGTGGAAGGGGGCAGGCTGAAACTGGTGGCGCTATGCCTATGTTGTCAGGATGGAAGGACCTGCCAATGGAGCTGCTTATGCGGATCATATCAGTTGCTGGAGATGATCGAATTGTCGTTGTCGCATCCGGTGTTTGCACTGGCTGGCGCGACGCGTTAGGATGGGGGGTTACTAATCTTTCCCTTTCATGGTGAGTAACTCCGTATCTCTCAGTCTAGTAGTTCTTCAGAGCAGCACGTGTTTTCTTTTGTTCATGTGAGGCGGGCTGAATTTTGTTCAACATTACATTTACACACTTTAGGTAAAGGGAGCCCTTATGTAAATTTGTTGAAATGATTTAATCTGGCTTTAATTATTAAACGGTGATGTGTAGCTCTTGAACTGAGAAATTCAGATTTGACAACATGTCGCTCTTACTAGACGGTCTCCTATTACTCAGTCATATGCCCCTTCATAGGAAAAGTAACCAAACACATGGGCTTCAACTCGTTCTCCACCCACCCTACATGGTGCTGAAGTCTTCACCTTACCCTTTTTATTATTTTTCAGTTCTGAAAACAACATGTCGATTATGTTGTATGAGTCAACAGCTAAAATTAATGTTTATGGAGGTTATCACTTTCTACCGTGGATGCATGCGTATCCCTCACAATATGAGAAACCTTCCACCCACTACCTTGATTCTTGAGACTCCTAATTAATAGAGTATGAAAAAGGTCACATTTGTTGGTGCTCCATCAGTTGGATGATACTCATGATAAACCGGTCGCCGGTCAGTAAATTTTAGAAGGATGTCATATTCTCCCTAAGGAGCACCATCAAATGTAACCTTTTATCTCCGTTTTTATTCCTAATTAATTAATGTGTCATTTTGATGTTTCCTGTAAAGAAATACATTATTTGCATCCATCCTTCCTTGTCTACTGGTTTAATTGACATCGTTTCAGATATAACATCTCTTCTGATGTTCTCTCTCTCTCCCCCCATTTTTAACTCACATGTACACAGCCAAGCCTTACCAGTGTATTATAATTCATGTTCTTTTAATGGTCTATAATTGCTGTTGGTGGTCTGTACTTTTTAGAATTTGTTGGTTGAACTTAAATTTGTACCATCTGCAGGTGCCAGCAGAACATGAATAACTTAACGATATCATTTGCTCACAAGTTCACAAAGCTTCAGGTTCTCACTCTTCGCCAAATCAAACCTCAGCTCGAAGACAGTGCAGTAGAGGCTGTTGCCAACTACTGTTATGATCTACGTGAGTTAGACCTCAGCCGAAGTTTTCGGCTTAGTGACCGATCATTGTATGCATTGGCCAATGGATGTCCTCGGCTTACAAAACTGAACATCAGTGGGTGTTCCAGTTTCAGTGACAGTGCCTTAATCTACCTTAGTTGCCACTGTAAAAACCTGAAGAGCTTGAATCTTTGTGGATGTGGAAAGGCAGCCACTGATGAATCCTTGCAGGTATTTTGCTTAACCCAGGATTTTCTTAGCATGTATTCATGAACTTCTGTTTAATCTCTGAAAATCTTGATGCAGGCCATAGCCCAAAACTGTGGGCACCTGCAATCTTTAAACCTAGGTTGGTGTGACAATGTCACAGATGAGGGGGTTACCAGCTTGGCATCAGGCTGCCCTGATCTCAGGGCCCTGGATTTGTGTGGCTGTGTTCTTATAACAGGTAATTGCCACATATACGATTTGTTCTTTGCATAACCTATTGCTCTTCATTGACTAGTTCTTTGGATAACCTATTGCTTTTCATTGATTGATGAGAAGCAAAGCTGCTGGTACGTTTGTTTCTATAATTCGTAATCTTCTAGGTTGCACTTTTGGATATGAAAATAGCATTCTGAAGCACCTGGGTTGCTGTGTTGTACGTACATGATTTTGAGACGCTTTCAACCAACTGTTAATATTTTCAACAAACTGTTAATATTTATAGGTTGCCACTAGAAAACCAATAGGAGCTAAGATAATGATGTTTTGTGTCACTCTTTCAGATCTTAGACAAAAGTTAATTGTACCCGATCTTTCACTGCAGACGAAAGTGTTATTGCTCTAGCAAGCGGGTGCCCGTACCTGCGATCTTTGGGCCTGTACTACTGCCAGAACATCACCGACCGTGCCATGTACTCCCTCGCAAACAGCTGCGTGAAGAGCAAACGAGGGAGGTGGGGCACCCCGCGGAGCAGCAGCAGCAACTCGAAGGACGTCGACGGGCTGGCTAACCTGAACATCAGCCAGTGCACGGCCCTGACGCCTCCCGCGGTTCAGGCGGTGTGCGACTCCTTCCCGTCGCTCCACACCTGCCCGGAGAGGCACTCCCTCATCATCAGCGGCTGCCTCAGCCTGACTAACGTCCACTGTGCCTGCGGCCTCCAGCGCCACCGCGCCGGAAGCGCCCTGCAGGCCACCAGCCATGCGTACTGAGGATGCGTGTGTGTGTGCGCTCTTGGTTCCGGCGAACCCCGTGTGCCTCGTGGGGGGAGGTTTGGTCCCGGCCTGGAGGAAGACGTGTATATAAACTCGGAACCAGGAAATGTAATGTTGTAGTAGGACTATTGTATTATATCATGAGGACTCTGTGATGCTCCCCCATGCCATTCTTGAAACTGGCAAGAAGTTGCAATGCTATGTATCTGGTGGATTTCAACAAGGATTTATCGGTTTGATTCTGGGGATCAGTAGTTTGCAGCTTATAGGGTGATATATGGGCAGAAACTGGTTGTTTGGTAGAAATGGCATCTTTTCCGCCTGGTCTGTGTATCGGATGGTGCTCAAGACAAAGTTTCGGTTGAGAATTCAGGATTCTTGCTGATGATAGCAAATGATATGACTGAACCGAACTACTGCTTGGTTTTTTCATGATTGAATCGCTTCAGCATCAGGATTTCTTCGAAGTTTTTGTTATGCTTGGGATATTCATGAGGAAATAGTTCAGTCTCGTCTGTCAGTGCACTCTTTTGTTCAGAACTACTTGTGGGGTTTGTAAGCAATGGAGTGGAACTAGAGGGATGAGTATGCAGCTTAAGGTTGATGCGTTCCGTCCCTGTGGTTGCTAGAAACTCGGAGGGCCGGTTCATTGGTGCTTCGGCGATCATGTACGAGGGGAAAACCGGTTCCGGGACACTGGAAGTTCTAAGCTTGCAGGGAAGCGCTAAGCCTGGCAGAGTACATCCTCGCAAGTAAAACTGTGGTTGCAAGATACTGTCTCGCTGTTAAAAGTCTCCTGGCAGGTACTTTTCCTTTTTGCCAATTGTCTCCTGGCAGGTACTTTTAATCTAGCCGATTACTTAAAATTTAGCCCCTCAAACCTTAACTAATTGAGGAGTTAACTAAAAACAATTTCTAGCCGAACTTCTAAAACTTACTACACTGGTTGTAATAACATCTCATACTATAGGTTGGAGTCAGTAACTCCCTAATTTTTTTCTGGCCAATCCTTCTACATCTTCATACTCCATTCCAGCTACATATTTGCAGTCATATTAAATCCAAAATTAGTACTCCCTCCGTAAACTAATATAAGAGCGTTTAGATCATTCTTAGTGATCTAAACGCTCTTATATTAGTTTACGGAGGGAGTACTAATTAAGGTTCACACAATTCACAAACATTACAAGTTCAATGTTTATGAATTTAATTATACAAATTCAAACACACCAAAGAGTTCTAATGAAGTAAATAAAGAGCATGATAGAAGCACAACAATCAAGTGATGTGAAGTGCTCAACAAGGTTATCTTGGAGTTGGGTATGAACTTCTCGATACTTCGATGCGTTGTGAGGAATCTATGTATCATGTTTTCATCTTGTTCATTGGTGATGTGCCGGAAGTTCACTGGCATGCCTCTCTCATCCGCAATGATCATGTTGTGTAAGATGATGCAACATGTCATTATTTGTCATAGGACTTGTGGGTTCCAATACTTGGTACAACCATGAACAATGGCAAAACGCTTCATAAGCACGTCGAAAGCTCTCTTGACATCCTTTTTCGTCAACTCTTGACACATTGCAAAGTGGAAGGTTGAGGACACGAGATTGTCTTCACAAATGGGGCACATGGAGGATAGATGCCACCTGCAAAGTAGTAGCTCATCATGTACTTACGACCATTGACAACATAGTTGCAATGGGAAGCATCTCCGGCAACAAGCCTTGCGGACGGTGGTGATCTTGAATGCACATTCAGGTCATTATAAGAGTCAGGCAATCCAGAAAAATGAATGCCAAATCATAGATCCTCCAATGCAACTGCCTCTAGAATGATGGTTGGATCTTTGGTGTGGTCTTTGTACCAACCTTTTCATCCCTCGTGACAATTCTTCCATGTCAAGTGCATGCAGTCAATTGATCCAAGCATCTTAGGCCATCCTCGTTCTCGCTCAAACCCAAGAGTCTCCTGGTGTCTTCATCATTCGGTGCCCCTACTCTTGTCCATAGATCTGAATCACGGCTTGTGTGTATCTTCGAGCGGCCTCCAGGATTCAATCTTCCCCAATATGGACATAGTCATCAAACTGGTTAAATTTTGAGAATTTGTATGTAGCATATCCAACTACTCTAAATTTAGAGCTTAAAATGTTTGAAATGGAAAATTTAATGGATAGCCTGGAATGGCCGATCGACTATCCATGTAAACGTCTAAGCATTTGCAGACATTTGAAGACGTAGATTTGAGGCATCTCTCGTAACGAGACCTTAGGGCAACTCCAACACAGATCACTAAATCGATCGCAAATGTTCGAACTGGATGGTTCGGGCACCTTTACCATCCGACGATGGTCACCTAAATTGTCTGGACCTGTCCGGACGTCCAAAATCCCGTAA